AAATTTTGAGACTTCAAATTTGCTCTTTATAACACTTAAATTAAATTAGCCACATACAGACTGTATATCAAAAACTTTTTTATAAATTCTAATTAAAAAATTTAAATAGTTATTTGTTGATTTTTTCTAAATTTTGTACAAAGTTTGAAACTTTTGTTTATGTGCGTTTTGTTATACATACACTTGTGATCAGCTAATTAAGCCAGCATCATTTTGATAAATTTTGGCTATTTTCCGATTTTTTAGAATTTTTTTGAGTATGCAGTTTAATATCCCATCAAATTCTAGGGTAATTATGTGCAAGTCTTAAGGTTCTAAAAAATCGCGTTGATTTTTAATAATTTTTTTTCTGACTTCATGACGCATTTTTTTTATACAAAAAAATTGTCGAATTTATGTCGGAATAAAAAGTTGAAAATCTGGCTGAAACTTTGCAGATTTTTCATAATTTTTGCACAAAGTTTGAAATCTGGATTTATATGGTGTTTGTTATATAATGAGCTAGACTTTTATGGAAAAATAATAAACATTAAATAAACGAAACCAAAATAGCCAAAATTTATCAAAATGATGCTGGCTTAATTAGCTGATCAGACAGATCTTGACAGTGTCAATGTTTAAAGAGCCATAAAGCGATACATTTTTGTAAGCAACATCTTATTTAATACAATATATTTATTTAATTTAATATCTATTATTATTTACATTAAAGGTGCTAACTCATTTTTCAAATCCAGTTTCATGCAAGTCAATAAATTACTCACTTGAAAAGTAATAGAATTGAAAAACAATTATGGCACTATATTACAGCCTTCAATAAAAATGCGTTTTAAAGGAATCCGCAGATAAGAAACTTCAGTTTTTAATATTTTTTTAACCACTATTTTCGTTTGTTATTTAATGTTTATTAATGTTTTAAAAAAGTATAGCTCACCATTATGTAACAAACTCCATACAAATCACCTTTCACCAAAATCAGTGTTGTCCTGTGTGATTTATTTGTATGTACGTATGGAAGAAAATTCACAAATCCGTCAGCAAAAAAAGATTATCAAAAATCAATGGGATTTTTAGTAGCTTCACACTTGCTTTTTCTTACCCCCAATTTTAATGAACTATCAAACTTCATTCTTAGAATTTGAGGGAACAAAGAAAAGAAAGAAAAGATTTTTATAAAATGTTTTGTTTTTCTTTTACAATGTTTTAAAGTTAGGTTTTTATGGATTTTGTTAGAAAATGAACTGTATTTTGATTGAAATTCACAAAAATAAACAAATAAACAGAAGTGGCAAACAATAGCACTTTGTAATGGGGGTAATATTGATATGACCGGTACTATACATACACTGACAATCAAAAGTGAGTGCATGGTTCTTTTTATTTAATATGTGCTATGGTTTACAAGTAAAATATTTTTTTGTTATTTCTTTTATAAAAATATGATTCATGCTTTAACTAAAACTACATAAGTCAAACTTTTAAAAATTGAAGGCATTTTCGTCTAAATTTTGACCTTTTTAATCTGAATTTTCAGAAAAATGTTGAGTTCGCAGATAGATCAGGTTTTTAATTCTAGTAAAAAATCGCGTTGATTTTTAATGAATTTTTTTCCGACGGATTTTGCGGTTTTATGCAAATGTATAACAAGTGCAATTTATAAAATATAGCGCTATTTTTTGTAATTTGGTTTGCAAACGGTCATGCGCATTTTATTCTAGAAGAAATTCCCTTTTATATGGTAAAAAGTGCAAAAAGCCGTCAGCAACAAAAAATCATAAAAAATCAACGCGATTTTTTTGCCGCTTAAAACTTGTACTTGTTTAACTAGAATTAAGAAACCAATCAATCTGCGTACTCAGATTAAAAAGGTAAAAATTTAGACGAAAATTCCTTGAGTTTTTCTAAGTTCTGTATAAAGTTTGATAGTTTGACTTATGTAGCTTAAATAAAAGCATGAACCATATTTTTATAAAAATAGCAAAAAAATATTTAACTTGAAAAACATTGCAAATATTAAACAAAAAACACCATACACTCGCTTTTGATTGCCAGTAAACAAGTACAGAACTAGCAGTATGTATACATTTGAATGAGATCTTGCTGCATTTTTAAGTCATGGCAACACTTTGTGACTTTTTCAGTCCGTACATTTATTATCTTAACAATATTTGGGGTGTTCACGTCTACATTTTGAGACACCATTTGGAACGAACTGTGAACACCCCAATTCATTTCAAAGATGAACTTTTGAGTTGGTTTTGGTGAGCTTTTGATTAGAATTTAAAGCGAACAAAGTTTTAGTTTTTGTATTTGTTTTCATTTGGTAGATAATTTGACTTCTATTAGCTTCCAAAGTTTATTTCTGATTTATGTCGAAATATAAGCCAAATGAAAACAAAAAAAAAATATAAATACAAAAAAAGATTTGATTTTGAAAAAAGATTCCCTTTAAGCTCACGAAAAGTAGTATTATATGCTATTGACAGCTAAAAAGCTGACATCTAAAAATAAAAAATATTGTCCCATGACCCTCGGCGAATCTACTGCAACGCCTTCGCGATTCCTTTGCTATGTATTGACTGCCACCGAGCCAGTAAAGTACCTGCATATATATATGTATATAATTATATGCATAAATATTTGTTAGACATGATGGATATGTAAATACTTACTTGGGGTAACGATTAGTGGAAATTTAAATTCGTATGACAGAAATCAAGCAAATGCATATAACTTCAGCTTCGCTGCATTCAACGAGAAAATTTACTGAAATACATATACATAAATGACATTAGTGTCAAGAAAATTAAAACTAACATCAGTAATATCACTGGACCACAAATTTCAACTTTTTCTCTTTACCAGAAACGCCGTTATGAAATTCTTATGTAAAATCACCCCCTGATTCCGAAAATCAAGGTTATTTTTAATTCTATGGTACCGTTTTTGAGATATTTGCAATTTACCGTTTTTCAAAAAAAATTGGGTCCACTTTATCATATATATCTCAAGAACGAATTAAGCAATTCCAAAACGGTTTGAAGCATTTAAAAGGTAATAAAATTTTCTATAAACTGTGCATACAACACTTTTTGCTAGGCCCTGTAGATTCAAAGATAACGAACAATCATTTCCGATTTTTTCAATTTTTTTTGTAAAAATATAAAAAAAATTGTACTTTGCGGGGAAGGATCTCGAAAACCTTTTATTTTTTTTGCAGATTTTTTTTTTCTCCCTAAGCTCTGTTGTATTACAAAAAAAATAAGCTATCATCGAAGAAAATCGATGCAGAACTACGTAAGTTATAAGCGATCAAATAAAAATACCCAGGTTGCGCAACTTCAATGTATGTACCTATACATACATACATATATTAAAGGTATAAAGTGCAAGTGAGATATTATCCGGATAAACGAATAACACCATAACAATGATAACACTTTTTCTTTAAATAAATCAAATAGTACTTTTAATACTCGAATTGTATTATAGTAGGTAGAGTGGTTGCATCGAAAGGAAGAGTGGTTGGGTTCGAAACCTGCTGTAGGCATGTAGTTATAAACATGTATTTCCGTCAGTTATGGGTAAGTATGTAGGTAGATTTTCAAAATTATAAGACACAGAAAATTTCTAAAGCCTACATCTAAAACAGGTAGTATTTTCTTTTCCCGGCTTGTTATAAAAAGGAACCTTTCTGTCTAGGTAAGATTTGATTTTTTCAATTTTATTCTTGTTCCGAGTATAAATATGAGTTAATGCGCTTTGAAACTTCATAACATCTTCAAGGCTCGCCGGAGATAGTTCAGTTCATAAGTCTAATTTCAAAATCGTGATTTATTAAAAAAAATAAAATGAGTAAAAGGACGCGAGAATTTGAGTGTAATAAGGATCCAGATATGTTCTGTTTCATGTGTGGCCAATATACTATCATAAGGCGACGACGAGTGTTCTCAGCTCATATCAAAACTTTATACTCCAAGTATTTTGGAATTGAGCCTAAAAATGCTGAAAAACCATGGACACCGAACACTTTGTGTACATCGTGTCGAGTAGAATTGATTCAGTGGGAATCAGGACAACAAACAAAATTTGATACACCAATGATATGGAGAGAACCTACTTGCCATTCAATAGAGTGTTATATTTGTCAAACAAAAGTACTTGGCGTTGGAAGATCAAGAGGAGTAACCTATGCTAGCGTACCTACAGTGACATTACCAGTACTACATTCAACGGCAGTTGCGGATCCAGTTCCATTGTCAACAGTAACATCTGAGTGCGGGGGATCAAGTTGTACTGAATTTCGCATGGAAAACGAAAGAAACGTTCTGTCACAAGCACAACTTGAATGATTGGATAAGAGATTTGGAACTATCCAAGGAAAAGGCCGAGATCCACACTTCTCGTATGCAACAATTTAAATTTGTGTCATCCGATGTTAAGGTGACATATAGTAGAACTCGTCACGAACCATTTTCCAAACACTATACCAAGAAAGACAGTATATGCTACTGCAACGACATCCCTGGTTTATTCAAAGAGTTTGGTCAAACATATGATTCAAAAGAGTGGCGATTGTTCATAGACGGCAATAAACTGAGTTTGAAGGCTGTATTATTGAATATTGGTAACAAAAAGCCTTCTATCCCGATTGCACATGCAGTAAATACAAAGGAAACCTACGAGGAAATGCAAAAAATACTCAAATTTATCAAATATGAAGAGCATGATTGGAAAATATGTTCTGATCTCAAAGTCGTTGCAATGCTATGCGGTCTACAAAGTGGCTACACCAAGCACTGCTGCTTCCTCTGCAAGTGGGATAGCCGAGCTCGTAAGGACCACTACGTCAGAAAGGATTGGCCGGAAAGAGTCGAGTTTACCGTTGGTGTGGATAACATCAAATACACCCCTCTTGTCAAGAAAGAGAAAATCATACTTCCACCCTTACACATCAAGCTCTGTCTCATTAAAAACTTTGTTAAGGCTTTGGACAAAGAAGGCGAAGCATTCGACTATTTGAAAACAGTTTTTCCAGATATTTCTCAAGCCAAGATAAAGGAAGGTATTTTTGTTGGACCACAAATAAGAAAGTTGATCAACAATAATCAATTCAAAGGACTACTCTCATCAGTTGAGGCAGCAGCGTGGGAATCCTTTGAAAAGGTCGTTGCTTCTTTTCTCGGTAGACACAAAAGCCCTAACTACGAGCAGATAGTGAACGACCTAATCAATAATTATGCGAAAATGGGCGTAAATATGTCTTTAAAAATTCACTTTCTCCACTCACATTTGAGCTTTTTTCCGGCAAATCTTGGCGACGAAAGTGATGAACATGGCGAAAGGTTTCATCAGCAAATGAAATTAATTGAGAATCGATATCAAGGATTCTGGGACGTCGCAATGATGGGTGATTACTGCTGGTTTCTCATAAGAGAAACCGATCCTAAACTGAATAAGCGTCAAAGTAGAACACATAATTATTTCGACAACATAGTAAAATCAAATTAAGATAAAGATTGTTAGAATATAGTATAAACATAAATAAATTTAAAAAAAAAGTTAAAAATATGGGTAATTTCATTCATAAATTGAACTTTTAACTCAATAGAAACAGAGCATAGCTAGATATTTCACTCTTCTTTATACCATACACACGTTTTGAGGTATACGTTGAAATTGCGCAACCTGGGTATTTTTATTTGATCGCTTATAACTTACGTAGTTTTGCATCGATTTTCTTCGATGATACCTTATTTTTTTTGTAATATAACAGAGCTTAGGGAGAAAAAAAAAATCTGCAAAAAAATAAAAGGTGAAAAAATCGGTAATGATTGTTCGTTATCTTTGAATCTACAGGGCCTAGCAAAAAGTGTTGTATGCACAACTTATAGAAAATTTTATTACCTTTTAAAAGCTTCAAACCGTTTTGGAATTGCTTAATTCGTTCTTGAGATATATATGATTAAGTGGACCTAATTTTTTTTTTTTGCAAAAACGGTAAATTGCAAATATCTCAAAAATGGTACCAAAAAATTAAAAATAACCTTGATTTTCGGAATCAGGAGGTGATTTTACATACGAATTTCATAACGAGAGCATTTGAATTTTATTGCATTTTCCCGATTAAAAAATACATATGTATGTCTGCTAATAAGCGACCAACTTACCAAAATGAAAATAAAATAGTAGTGGTCTTCATATCTAAATTCTTCATTGCACTTCACATCTTAAGTGTTTCCAAAAGAATAATAACGGTTAATGGCCGCTTATGGATTTCCAAAAACAAAAGAAAAGCCCCATATTCAATCTGAAATGGAAATAATGAATTAGTGCTTTCTTTCCTCACATATGTTTGTATGGGTAGTGATTTTCATAAGTAAAAATTAATGTACATGAATTCGACAAAATTTTCCTTTAATTTTCATGAAACTTTTTGTTCGAATTCGAGTTGTTACGCATTTTCTTCCATGTAAAGTATGTTCGAAAATTCTTTATATAAGAGAAAATGAGCAACACTTTCCTTCGGGGTGTATATTTATGTAAGCTGTGAGAGACTGTATACTGGGTGTCCAATAAGTAGCCTGAAAAAATCGAGGAGAAATATTGATATTTTTTGGAAACATTGATTTTTTTTTATTAAATAACGGAGCTTTTCTGTTTTCCTAAATTTTTCATGGTTTCTTAATATGATTTATTTTGGAACGAATTTCCGTCATCCCTTGTCGAGCTTGTGTTGCTTCTGAAAAGCAACTATCTGGAAGTATTTTACAGAAAAAAAGGAACAAAGTATAGCCTTATTAGTAAATGCAGCTAAAGAAAACACATGAAAGGGCCGTTTTTTTGTTTTAATTAAAAAAAAATCAATATTTTAAAACGGTGACACTTTTCTCCTTAAGTTTATCATGCTACTTATTCGTCACCCTATATATATGGATGTTCATATATATAACCAAGGTGTAATAAACAAGGTGTGATTGACAACTCAGGTAGGCTCTCTTTTAAGGTGCTATTATGCCAAAAAATATAAACAAGCGATTCAAAATGCATACAAAGTTTTTCAATTTGACTTTATAGGATGGTTTCTTCTGAGAGCAATGTCAAATTCAATCACACTTTGTTGAATACATTTTGTATATAACTTACTATTCCACATATTTATTTACCTCTAGTTGTTTAAAAAGTACTCACGCAATATGTTTCTGTTTTGCAACGCCTCTTGTGGTGATGCATTGGCCGTATTTAAATCATTGCGGCTGACGCTATGGAGGCTAAAGATGTCTTCACTTTCGTCCGATGAAACAGAAGATTCAGTGGATAACAAAAGGCGCAGGTAGTTATGCAGGACTATAGTAGCCTATACAACCTAAATATGTGAAAAATATTAGTACAACTATATATGCACCTAAGATTTACATTTTAAACCTTCTTTGCATTTGCCGGGGAAA